TATGAAGCCCCACTGTTCAATGCCAGAATCCGCAAGAGGTAAACACATATCACAGTTAACGGTTTGTTATTTAAGTCTAAGTTTTAAGTTGTTTGTTTTTTTTAAAAGTTTGGTAATTGTTGTCGTCTCACTCCGTCAGCTGGCTCCATAATGAGCTGCAGATTGCCACGGTGGGCCACAAGGTTGACCTGAGTTACACGTACGATCACCTAGGAGAAGACACTTCAGTCCTGAAGCAGCTGGCCAATGGCACACATGCTTTCTGCAAGGTAATGGACACGCACGTCGCCCAGTGAGATTCAAAATGGTAAATGGCCTTAAACGCTTGAATATATAGAGAATGAACTCCAACAATCAGATTGCCCGCTATGAGTGAGCGCTTGAAGACAGTGGGAAGGAAAAACTCCCTTTTAACAGGAAGAAACTTCCAGCAGAACCAGGCTCAGGCAGGGGCAGTCATTTCCAGACTGAATATCTTTTTTTCCGTTCTCTCCTGGCAGGTCCTTTCAGCTGCCAAGCGTCCAGTTGTGGTTGTGGGCAGCGGCGCTCTGCAAAGAGAAGATGGAGTTGCAATTTTGAGCGCCGTCTCCACCATTGCTCAGAACGCCCGAGCCAGCAGCGGAGTGGAGGACAGCTGGAAAGTCCTTAACGTCCTGCACAGGTACAGCTAAGCAGCTGATTTCAAGTAACCCTAATGCAATGAGATGCAGTAGATGCTCATACTGTGTGTGTGTGTCTGTGTGTGTGTGAGAGCAGGGTGGCGAGTCAAGTGGCTGCCCTCGATCTAGGCTACAAGGCCGGAGTGGACGCCATCAGGAAGAATCCACCTAAAGTGCTTTTCCTGCTGGGAGCTGATGCGGGCTGCATCAGCAGAGCTGACCTGCCCAAAGACAGCCTCATCATCTACCAGGGTATACACACACACACACACACACACACACACAGATTTGACAAACCAAATGCTGCTAATCTGGGTACATAAATAAACATCAATTTGCAACCCCTTCAGGTCATCACGGTGACGTAGGAGCACCAATGGCAGACATCATCCTACCCAGTGCTGCATACACGGAGAAAAACGGCACTTATGTCAACACTGAAGGCAGGAGCCAGCACACCAAGATAGCCGTCACTGCTCCTGGAGTCGCCAGAGAGGACTGGAAGATCATCAGAGCTTTGTCTGAAGTAAGCAGGAAGTGTTTTGAGTATCCGTACTGATGTTCACTGTTAACATGAAACCAGTCATCTTAACGTCTCTGTGCGTTTACAGCTGACGGGTGTAACGCTGCCCTACGACTCCTTAGATGAGATCCGATCCAGGCTAGCCGAAGTCTCTCCTAACCTGGTCCGTTACGACGATGTCGAGGAGGCGAACTACTTTAAACAAGCCAATGAGCTCGCTATGGTACAGAAACACTCACAGTTAGTTGGTCTGCCTCTGATTTACCTGACAACTTTATTCAGCTGTTTATCTCCTCACTCTGTTCCTCTCAGACTGTGAACCAGGAGCTCTTAGCAGCTCCTCTGGTGCCGCCTCAGCTTACAGTAAAGGACTTCTACATGACAGGTACGTTTGTTTACTTATTTTTTTAGTATATATAATAGCTGTTTTTTTTTTCTCAAAATAATGTACAAGCAAATATGTATCATAATCTGTGCTGCTTCTTTCTGTCTCCAGACTCCATCAGCAGGGCTTCCCAAACAATGGCGAAGTGCGTCAAAGCCGTCACAGAAGGAGCCGCCGCCGTCGACGAGCCATCTGTTTGCTGAACACTTGATATGACGACAGCTCTGAACTTTGTGTTGCTCCATAAGTTGAAGTCGCCCTCAATGCTTGTGTATACTGTTGAATCGTTTTTGCCGCTGAGAACCAGCTTTGTGGAATAAATCTGAGAAACATACAAAATATAAATAAAATCCTAAAATTGTCTTTACTCCAGTTTTAATGTGTATTTTTTTTCTCCATTGCATTATTTTAATAACATTCAAATGATATCACTTATGACGCCTTCCAAATGCTTTAA